TGTCGGTAGGTCGTTAATAACAATTGCAAGATTGATATATACCGGAGGAAGATGAAGACCGAATCCAAGTCGTGGGTACAACCAGCGACCCAAATTGATATCTATCTCATTAGCAGAAAAATCAATCCACTGCTCGATGTGCCCCTGTCAACAACAATAAAAAAGATGGATAATGTAATACGGTGTTAAGAAAGACTAGAGAGCCTGTGATGGAAAACATTCGAGCAAGGTAAATGATAGGATGGGAGCATTTCATGTCCAGAAACCAAATATCAATCACTTACATATTCAATCAAGGAAGAGCCATACAGGGGGTTATCAGGTTTCAATCTAGCCACTGTATAAATAAGATAACAAAACACATCAGCACCAAATTGCTGCAGAATAAAACCAAAGAACGAAGCTTATCAAAGAGTTCTGATACCATAGCGGGCAATGGCATTGCTTTCAAATATGGGGCCGTCAGAAGTTTCAAGCACAGGAACCTAAAAGTGAAAATGAAAATCAAAACGCAGAAGAACTACGATCCACATAATTTCCTTCGATTCTTATTCATACCTTTCCTATAGGATTCATCTTTAGGAATTCTGGTGTCTTATTTGAGACACCCATCTCAAAATCCTTAGCCAATTCAATCTTTATGCCACTGTACTCTGCTGCTACGAGCGCCTTGAATGCATTTTTGTTCGTACTGGAAGCATGCAAAACCTGTTTAAAAGAATCAAAAAGGCCAAAAACCTTAATTAAACAATAAAACGTGGTCAAGAATATCCTAGAAACTGAGTCTGCAAGAAAATTTACAGTTTGATGACAGCAATCCAATTGCAAACAATTGACTCAATACAATATTTGATGACATCGAACGGATCAGTGTTATCAAATTTCCACCACGGTGGTATGGTCTGGCGGATTTCTGCCAAACCGCCATTAGAAATTTGTTAAGTAGGGCGGTTATGGCCCCCCTCGCTGAACCATTTTCAGCCATCCGCCACTAATAACACTGGAATCAATCACAATAAACATGTTTCCACATATCTAATCAAGTTAAGATCTCGTCTAAAAGAACCCCAGAGCACAGACAACAAAACGTGCATCCGAAAATTGTTACAAGATGCAAACATTCGGCTGAAGGACCAATAATACTAACACAACCATCAAGTTGCAGACTTGCTTAGACTGAGACCGAAGAACTTTCGACATTTTTAAACTCCACAAAAAATTACCAAATATCAATCAGAATCTGACAACTTCTACATTCAATCAATCAACAGTTCAATACTCCACTGGTCTGCCAATAACATCAACAGAAAAGAGAAACAGGAGTAAACTAACCAGGGCCATGGCTCCACAAGATCAACTTTAACTGGTCAAAGACACCACCAAAACACCTGATAAAAGCAACAAGAACAATAATCAAATCATCAAATCAGAGAGTTATGGGAACATAATATGGTTGCATTTTAGATGAATAACTGAAGCTGCATAAGATTTGTTGAGAAGTATAAAAGGACCGATCCTTACGAGCTGCTGTGCCAAACCCAGAAAGGAGAGATGTGAATGTAGGACTGTTTATTTAGGGTTTCTTCTTAGTCCAATACACTATAGTGGTCACCGTGTTATTTATTATTACCTCAATTTACTATTTTGTTATCTATATCTATATCAATACTAATACTAATGTTGCAAAAAAAAAATAAATAAATAAATAAATAAATAAATAAATACTAATACTAATGAATATAAAAAGGTTCTTAGTACAATCATTTTTAGTAACTTTGAAAAAATAAATAAATAAATAAATAAGTTGACTTACTAGTAGTAGAAATTTTAAAAAAACTACATGTAGATCTTTAATAACAAAATCTAAATCTTATTTTTTTGTAACAAATTTGGAGATTCTTATGCCAAAATTTGAATCCTATATTTTTCGTATCATTTTTTTATTTTTACTTTTTACCAAAATTTGAATCCTCTCTTTTTTTTGGTAACAACTTTGGAGATTCATAAAACCAAATTAAAATACAAATTAATTTAAAAACCATGCAAACTGGATACAAATTTAGGAAATAAATATTAACAAATTCTTCCAATCTTTTTTAATATGTTTTCTTTAGAAAAACGTGTCCAAATTAGATAAAACCACGCACAATTTTATTTTAAAACAAAATTGAAATTTAGATGGGATATACATTCAAATCTGTATCCACTTTTTGGTAACAAAATCGGTTTATTTTTTTACATTTAAAATCAAACCTTATCCAATTATTTTGAAAAGAAATTCAAATCAAATTGTGTGCAATTTTTTAAAATTTGAATGCACCGATGTTCTTTGGATTTTTATGTTTTTCTTAACCATGTTTTACTGATATTTTGGTAAGTTCATATCAATTTTTTGTTAAATTCATATCAATTTTTTAAGGAAAGAAACAACTACATAAATCTTATAAAATATTTCTATCTATTATTAGAATTAATTTCATTTAAATTTGTTTAGGAAAAAAAATCACTGCAATGTTAGGAAAATTTGGTTGCATTTTTAGGAAAAAACGATTATTCTTTTCACTTTGTTTAACCAAGCATTTATATCCGGGAAAAATTCAAAGCTAGTCCCACAGGTATAGGGGGGTGACATTTTTTGTCCCAACGGAATCCAGAAAATATTAATAGTCACGCAGCATTTAAAAAATGATCAAAAGTATGACTTTTTTTAAATTTTTGCCCGGAATGCCACGTCGTACACACGTGGCCACATTCATCTGACGTGGTTGAGTACAATGCCAAGGGAAAAAAATCAAAACTAGTCTCACAGGTTTTGAGAGGTGACATTTTTTATCCGAACGGAATCCAGAAAATACTAAATAGTCCCGCCACATGTGTGCGACGTGGCTTTCTGGGCCGAAAAATTGAAAAAAGTCTTACTTTTGATCATTTTTTAAAAGCTGCGGGACTAATAATATTTTTTGGATTCCATTAGGACTAAAAATATCACCCCCATATACATGTGGGACTAGTTTTGAATTTTTTCTATTTATATCCTTTGAATTAGAATTAAAAAAATGGTGTGAAAAAACCCCTAAGAATTTCTACTTTCTTTCTAATATTATTTTGTAAAATAAATAAGATCCCTTCATTTTTCTTAAAAATGTATTTTTTAATTAATAACTAATAATACATAATTTAATATCAAATTCGAACAATCATATAGTATTTTACGTTCCAAATAATCAAACTAAGAATGTTGTACATAAGAAAGTGTTCAATAATATATAAATTTCATTTTCATGATATTTTAATGTCATGAGACAATT